CACTGTTGGTATTGACAATGTTGGTGCTCAGAGTCTTGAATTGGGCATCTCTGATCATGAACTTATTATCTTTGGTTTTCATCTCCCCCTTGTAAAACCAAAAACTAAAACTACTATATCTTACCGTAACCTGAAATCTGTAACCACTGACAATTTTTCTGTTGCTATTGCTGCCGCCCCTCTCTCATCCGCACTCAACCTCCTGAGCCCTGATGAGATACTCTCAACCTATAATGAATCTATTTGTAATGTTTTGGATGACCTTGCTCCACTAAAAACTAGAACTGTCCCTTCTGCTCACTCCTCTCCTTGGTTCACCACTGAAGTAATGAAAGAGTAATGAAAGCTGAATGTAGGCGTCTTGAATGACTTTATAAAAAAGCCTCCCTTGTAGTGCATGCTATTGCTTTCTCAGATTCAGTATTGAAATATAAAGAAGCACTTAACACTGCACACTCTATTTATGTCTACTGTCATCAATAAAGCCAATACTTATTTAGAGTATCATGTCATTAAAAAAGTCCCAACGAATTAAAAAAACATACGTTAAAGGGATAATTCACTCAGAAATAAGAATTCTTTCATCATTTACTCACTCTTGTAGGGGAATTTACAGTTAAAACCCAAGGACCAGGTATATTGAATGAAGACCAGGAGTCAGAGATGCAATCAATTGAAGAAAAATTTACTGAAGAATATAGTTTTTTTCAGTTTCATCAGCAGAAGTCAGCTTCAACACTCTCGATGGACTTCGTAGGCCGCTCTGCATACATGTCAGAAACACCAGTAATTATACTCTAACAGAGGTCACTAATTACGTCAATACAAAGGTAAGCAAGATTCTGGTTGGTAGATAAACTAAGAAAATCTTCACACATGGACGTAAAACTCAAAACATATCTTCCAGCGATTATTTTGGTGACGAGTGATCAGAGGTCAGACGCAATAGGTCTTTCCAGAGACGTTTATCTAATACCCTTGACATCAGGGTGATGGCAAACGATGATTTCCTCCTGGAGCTGTCTCTCTCTGCATCTAGCTGCAAAGACAGACATTCACACATACGCAGAGAACACTTATCTGTATTTCAAGGTTGCAAGGCTCTGCCCTGAATCTTATCAAATATGGTTCACTACACACACACACACACACACACACACAATGAGAGCAGCTTCTTAGAGAGTAAAAAGGCAGACTAAAGCCATATTCAGCTTATTTTCTAACATGGATAAATGTACCTTTGATTAATAATTATTCAAGAAGAAACAAATATATATATTATGAAGGTCGCGATGTCTCCAGGGTTCCACTCCTTCAATCCCAACCAGCCTGACAAAAGCATCTTCAGTTGCTTTTCCACAGAACTGCAAAACAATGATTGTTAAGGCAGACTAAAGACACATTCACTTATTTTCTAACATGAATAAATGTTGTAATCACTCGATGGTCACGTAGAGTTCCCGATGACCTCTATGACATGACAGTGTGACCCTGAGAGGAGAAGACAGAACTCAGCATGTCAAAGCTTACTGTTACACATTCCATCTCCTTAACTACAAGGAAGAAATGTGTTCAGATACATACATTTTGATGTCTAACTACTAATATATAGTAACTAATAACTAAATAAATAAATAAAATAGCTACCGAGACATTTCTCAAATAATCTACTTTTATGTTCCACAGTTTACATTAGGCCATCACAGCCAAAAATTTTACATGTAATAAATTTTATGTTGATGCAAATAAAACATGTCTATCTAGAGCTGCTTTTTGTGATGTATATTTGTATAAATTTATGTATGCTTTCTCATTTAACAATAAGGATGATCTTAAAGATGATCTCACTGTTGTGGTTTGGAAACATGTTACTCAGAACACAGCGAGTTTGACCGCAGTAGAGCTGAGATTAGGGCTGGACAATAATTCAATATCAATATGTATCGCGATATAATTTTTTTCAATAACGGTGATATGATTTTTAAACACATTTCCGATATTTCGATATACATTACCAGTTTCCCATACATTGATTTATTTGTGGTGTTTGACTTCGTTGAATAAACATGAGCACTGCACGTTTCAAAATCATAACACGGCGCGGGTGTTTTATATGAATGTATCTCTGAAGTTTCGATGGCATTTTCATTTGATCTGATAAAGAAGCGTTCATGAGCGGAGCTGCTTTGATTACAGCCATTACTGGAGAAACCGCTAGTTTTATCACTCTAAAAGCGCCTCCTGCTGGCAGAGAATGAGTTTTCATTTTAAATAAGCCCGTCTCCAGCAACATTTCCAGTTTTTGTTGTTGTTCAATTTTTTTTCGTGATATCAATTTTGGCCATATCGTCCAGCCCTAGCTGAGATCATCTCTGAACCCAGATTAGACTGATGATGCTGTGAATTCCCACACATTCAGATGTCTGCTCTTTTTCTTTAAGTGAGCTGCTGCATGCAGCTTTTTTTTCAGTTGGCAAAAGTGCAGCCTCTTTAACAAAATGAGTCTTAATTCTGTTCATCATGACATCACAGTGGGCGGAGTCACTGCGGTTTCACTCACTGATTGGCAGAAAGATTGAGTTGACAGCATTAGAGATCAGCTTGAATGCTGTGGAAACACAAGCATCTAAAACCTTCATAGATTTCCGATAGCTACAGAAAACAGAAGCAAATGGATCGTTGTAAATTACAGGAACTGGAATCCAGGCAGTGAAACATGGATTTGCATGTTGCTGTTTTGTCATGTATGTTTAAAGAACATCATCTGCAGTCGATCAACCTGATCAGCTTTTACCAGATCAGCTTTATTATTTTAACACTGGCAAATACTAGCATTCAGTTACTAGCTGCAGATTCTGGTGTAATGTTGTTACAATCAGCTCTGATATTACACACTAAAAAATGCTGGGTTAAATATAACCCAGCGCTGGGTTATATTTAACCCAGCATTTTTTAGAGTGTAGACAAAACTTGAGATATCTGATCTAATTATAACAAAACTGTTTTGAGCTTTTCAGCTGTCTGTGACTGAGAAGTGGACAATTAACTTTAGATATAGTTTCTTTATTTGTTTTTAAGGCATGTTGTATTAATTTTCAGTTTTAGATGGCTTATTATAGCTAAAGTTATCCAGCCAAGAGATATCAGTGGTTTTCTTGTCAATATTGCAGTTTGACTAATGTTCATTAATTATCCTTTTATATTATTATTATTATTATTATTATTTAATCTAAAACATCTAGTGTATAAAATCAATAAATACCATAAGCTCCCTTTTATTTTACCCAGATTATTAACCCAATATCAGATATAAATCCTTTACACTTTTAGACTCTGAAATAGACTCAAATGCGTATTCGGCACATATTGAAGACCACATAAAAGACATAAACAAAATAAATAAAAACATGTTGCAGCATGATGTAGGTGGCGAAGACAAACATTCATATATTTTCATAAGTGAGAATTGTTCACTGATTATTTCAATGCAGAGCCAAAGTAAAAAAAACAACAAAAAAAAAAGATATTTAAGAGGTGTGTAGTATCATTAAATGTTTAATGTAACAATTAGATGTTGTTATTTATTTATTTATTTTTAATGTATGTGTATGTTAAAAGTACCATTCTGGCAGCGAGAACGATCCTGAACTAAATTAAGATTAATGTTTTGGAGAGTCGGCGAGAAGCTCATTTGATTGGCTACAAGAAGGTGGTGGACCCGCCCTCCCAAAACTCAGTGAGTGAGAGAATCGTGCCAATATTGTAAGCGCAGAGAAGAGAAAGACTGAGCTGTACATATCGGTTTATTTCAGGAACTTTTTGCCCCACATACACAAGTCATTTAGACATTTGCAACAGTTAGTTTCTTTACACATACAGATTGGGTCTATGTAGTCAATCCATTTTGCAGTTCTGTTAACTGTTGTTTTCGCTTGCAAATCACTGTTCACAGGCTTGCAGTGCTTTTGACCGTATTTTAGCGAAAAAACGTGCCAAAAGTGTAAGCGCGGAAAAATGGAAGTCAGAAGCATGCAGATCATATTTATTTTGCGTTAGCATGAAGCTGCAGTTTCACAATACATGAATTACACTTACGAGTAACAGTAAAATGCTGCAAATAATTTTTTCTTACGCTTGAAACGCAACTTACACCTTTACAAAGCTTCTCTTGTGCATGCTAATTTAATTTACGCTTACAGTCTTATGTACACTTCCACAACTCTTACCCTGCGTATGCAAATCTTTTAGCCATTATTTTGCCTTCATATAGATGAAAGAGGTTCAGATGACAAAAAGTTTGGGAATGTCTGCATTACATGTAAATAATGAGTTTAAAAGACAAAAGCCTTTCAATAACACATAATAATACATGGTTAAATAACCTACTGATTGATAATTCAAATAAAAATGTGTTAATCAGTAGTTGATGCAATGCTGAAACACTTTTTGAACCTGAAATGATTTTTGTTAATCCAGTGGTCAAATGCTGTTTATCACCTGACTGATTTATCTCTGTGTGAATATCCACAAAACTGGAAGACTTTCTGAATGTATATATTTCAAAGATGAAAAAGAGAAATTAGAGAGAATCAATCATGAATAATTTATTGCTATTGTGTGAATAATGTGTAATCATGTAATCTGTAAAAAAGTAACTGTAGTCTGATTACGAGTATTTTAAAATATAACTTACTCTAATTACAAGTGATTTTGGAATCTGATTACGTAATTACATGTTACCAGTTACTACCCAGCTCTGCTTTTGTTGATCTCTATATTTAATATTGCATATTATCTATTCATGTAAGGGGGTCTGAATACTTTCCGTACCCACTGTAACTTACTCTAATTACAAGTACTTGATTTTTGTAATCTGATTACGTAATTACATGTTACCAGTTACTACCCAGCTCTGCTTTTGTTGATCTCTATATTTAATATTGCATATTATCTATTCAGTTTGGAGCACTGGAAAAGATCCTTAAAAATTTTATGCAAATATCCATAATATCATTGACATGAAGATACATCTTGCTGTAATCTGGCCTGTTATTTGTAGAGATTATTTTATTCTAATATTGTATTCATCACCATTTCCTCCAAGTGCTGCAAGTTCTTCTTCCCTGCAAAATAATTCAACACAAAAGCATTTACTGAGCTCTCATGATTGCAGATTGTTACAGACCAATGTGAATCATCTCAAACACTCACCAGCTCTTCTCGCACAGATGATCTGAAGAAGAATCACAATAGGAGCAGCAAACACTGTAAACTCAACAATAATCACAATCACTGCAGGAAAGATGATGGGCAGATGATAGACACAATCAAATCACAATTCTTGACAAAGCACAGAAGATTGACTGTTTCAGCATCAATGAACTTTCGTACCTCTGAAAAGTGATCCAGCAGTCCTGCTGACTTCAGTTTCTGCTGGATCTGTTAGTTCAGTTCAAACATAATGAACATCTTAATACCAAACATCTTTATACTTCAGCTGCACATCACATAAATCATAAATATGTACCGGACCTGTGTGCACTATATCAATAAATGAAAATGTCTCTGTTAAGTAACCTTAGTTCCCTGAATAGGGAATGAGACTGTGTCGCTGGCACTATCGGAAATTGACTGAAGCCCTGATACCATCACACCAATTCATTGACCAGTAGCGCCTCTGAGGAATAAGTCACATATGCCTCATAAGAGTGTGCTTGTGCCATCTCTCCTCAGATTTTCCATTATGAAGGAAACACTAAAAGTAGGAGAAAAGAAAAAGAATGGCCAGCAGTGCAGCATCTCATACCCTATTCAGGGAACCAGGATTACACACATTACCGAGAAATTCCCATTCATAGATAATTTTAACAGATATTAAAAATTTTAATAATATTTCACAATATTACCGTTTTGTCTGTATTTTTATAAATTTAATAACAATTTAATAAATGCAGCCTTGATGAGAATAAGAGACTTTTTAAAAAGACACTAAAAATCTTCCTGATCCCAAATGTTTTATACATATCATTTTGGCGAGGTATCATATTATCACGTTCCCATGAGTTATTATGTCGTGGCCACGACAAAACTAAAGTGAACCGACCATGTCACCTCCCGGGCATTAAAAATCTTCCTGATCCCAAATGTTTTATACATATCATTTTGGCGAGGTATCATATTATCACGTTCCCATGAATTATTATGTCGTGGCCACGACAAAACTAAGTGAACCGAACATGTTGAATGGTTTCAACACTTTTTTATTTTTAGTGTTATTCGAGCACTTTATACAAATTTAAGAAAAACATATGTTGATGTCCCATTGGCATGGGACCATTTGTTCGTCAGCAGAGTCAGAAATTAACTTTCCCATAAGGGGCAACTCTCTCTCGCTCTCTCTCTCTCTCTCTTTTTTTACCTTTTGTTTGTCATCTTTAATGTTAAATTCATATCTGTCGTAAAATAATCATATGCATCTCGTGGCGTATATTCCAATCTTTTTTCGTTTTTTGGAAGAAAGAAAAAAAAACGTAAAAGGAGACGTTTTCTAATTTTTCTACTTTCAATATTAAATAAAAAAACTAATGATCGAATGATACACTGGTTTTTTACCCTGATTCTAGGTGATTTTACTTTGGAATCTTCAGAAAACCTTAACTTGATTTTTCTCAGAAGTTACTTTGCTAACTTCATCGACTTCAAACGGCTGTAGCTCAGTAATTTTGCGTCCGATTCCAACAAATCTTACATCATTTTGAAGGTCTTTTAATCGTGAATGAGAAAATAAAAATAACTTGTTTTTGAAAATTTGCTCATTGTGACATTTTGTAAGCACAGGTCACAAATTTTAACCAGTTAACACACAAGACTCTAGTATCATTATATTAGGACATCTAACAGAGACTCTTCCATAACTGATCATGAGTTTGTTTTCTGACCTGAACTCTTGACAGTGTCTGAGTGACTGAGGCCTTGACCTGATTTCTGTGAGTAACTTCACATCTCCATTCTCTGTTGTGATCTTCATTCAGGAGTGTTGTAGTCAGAGTGCTGAGACAGTGATCTGATGAGGATAATATCTGATATCTGGAGTCTGATCTTGTCAGTTTAACACCAGCCTGATTCACCCAGAACAGATGAATTCTCTCAGAATGGATCCAATCATCACAAGAGACTCCTGCATATGAATATGAATACAACTGACAGGAGAGAGTCACAGAGCGGCCTGCACTGATCTCAGTCTGTGAGGATGATGAAGAGACTGAAACACAAAATAACACACAAATCACACACTTTACAATCATCATGAGAGATTAAATGAAGATTTTTAAATTGACCACATTATCATAAAATTACCCTGAAGAACATGCAGAGAAACACGAGCATCAGTTCCTAGTTGTTTGTCATTCACAAATGGTCTGCAGGTGTAAAATCCACAATCTTCTTTTGTGATGTTCTTGATGTTCAGAGAGCAGTCAGACCCCAGACTCAGTCTCTCATGACTCTCTGCGTCTTTATTCTTTATCCCTGAATAAATCAGTTCAACAGTCGTTGAATCTTTATTATAGATCCATGTAGTTGATGTGCAGTCAGGAAGAGCATTATTACAGGACAGACGGACATTTTCACCAGAACTGATGAACACATGAGCATCATCCACTCCACTGGAACATGAAACACAAGAACATATGAGTGATCATTTATATATATGTTATATATTAATAAATGAAAAATAAAAAACAGCATAAAAAAAACAGAAGATTCAGAACTTACAGAAAACAGATATTTCTTTACCTGTGAGAAGTGAAGAGACAAAGATCAGTCCCAGCAGACACAAATGACACTTATCAGCCATTTTCTCTTTCTGTCAGTCTTCCTCTTTATTAAATGCTCACAACTCTTTCTTTAAATACTCTTAGCTCTTCCTGTGGTCATTTACTTCCTCCGAACTACAGACTGAGTGTTGCGTTACATTGTGTTCAGAGTGAATGTGTGTTGATCCAGTTTTCACACTGAAGAACAAGTTTCACACAATCTATAGGTTATTCTTTACATTACTGTTAGTTAGCAGTTTCCTGCATGCCGTTAAATAAATGTGAAATCATGAAATTATTAATGATAAAATTGGTTTGAGACTGAAAAGTTTTCCACTATCCACGACTCACTTAGAATATTAATTCATAAACAGTTTTTAAAGTATTTTGAAAAGTATTTTGAAATTAACATAAATTCCAGCTTGGTCAAACAAAAAGTCTTCACACACACTACATGAGCGTCTCTAAAATGTTTCTACTCATTAATTATAAATTATAATATGCTTTTCTCTCTCTCTCTCTCCATGGGCGTAGCTTGTGGGGGGGCCAGGGGGGCCTGGCTCCCCCATAGCGATTTAAGAATTTTACTAAATATTTATTTATAACGTTTTTTCTATGAAGTAAAAATGCATATAATGCAGTTAATAATACATGTAAAAGTGAATACGTAAAAGTTAATACATTTTAAATTGTTATTGTAAGTAAATTAATAAATCAAAACAAACTTAAAGTCTCCCTTAAATTATAAAATGATGTTCTGCGTTTTTAACAACATACACGAACTGCAGAGAAATCTGGAGACAACAAAAAACTCCGATGAAGATATTAATGCCGTGCTTAATGATTCCGGACCCGGACAATCAGATAAAGGTGATCCACAGGACACAGCCAGTTTAGCCGCACACTAATTTTATGCCAACTATTTACATCCAAATGTTATTTAATTTTCACAGAACACAACCTTTAAATAGATTTTAGAATATAAACTGTTTATGGTCTATTCAATAATCTGACCAAATCCACCGGTTCGGTTTGGCCCCCCCAAACTCAAACATCAAGCTACGCCTATGTCTCTCTCTCTCTCTCTCCAGCCCTGAGAAAACAGATCAGATCCAGAGTCTGTTATTAACACCATAAACACCAAACAGCAGCACATTTTCCCTTTAGCCGGTGGATTTCGCAGTGGCTCGAGTCACTCTCTGATGGCTGATAATTCACAGTTAGCTGGATTTGTGTGCTGTGACACAGACTGAACTGTTTAAAGTGCTTCAGAGATGCTTTAAAAGGCAGCTACTTTGACTTGTCATAAAATGCTATATTTTTTTGGAATACCTTGTCGTTATGAAAGTCGGTAGGTGTCATCAGCATCATTCCCTGAACATACTCAAAATATGTCAGGGCAAAATAAAGAAATTCACGCTTTCCTGTCTTCAGTTGTTCTTCCTCTGTGAGGATCTTAGGGATTGTAGAAGATTTTTATTAATCAGAATTAGGGCTGTGCGATTTGGGGGAAAATATCTAATTGCGATTTTTTTATTTTTGACAGATATTGCGATTGGCACACACACGGCACACACTCTCCCACTGAAACACATTATAGCATTTATGATGTTTCTGCTGGGAAATGACTGTCATTTTTTATATATTTTTTACTTAAACACTTTGCTGAAGTAAAAGTATTTTCACACTCAAAGCACACGTACTCTCTCACACCAGTATGTATTTTCTGATGTTCTTTCAAAGTTAAAAAACGTGAAAAACTTTTTCCACACAAATAACATGAATGTGGCTTCCCCTTTGTATGAACTCTCAGGTGTTTCTTCAGGTCTGAAGCCCTCAAAAATGTTTTGCCGCACTGATCACAAGTGTACAGTTTCTCTCCAGTGTGGATGTTCATGTGTCTCTTAAGTTGTGATGATTGTGTGAAACTCTTCCCGCACTGATCACAAGTGTATAGTTTCTCTCTGCTGTGGATCCTCTCATGTGTTTTCAGGATTCCTGACTGAGTGAATCTCGTCACAATGTGAACACTTGTACGGTTTCTCTCCAGTGTGGATATTGATGTGTTTCTTAAGGCTTGATAATTGTGTGAAACTCTTCCCGCACTGATCACATGTGAACGGTTTCTCTCCAGTGTGGATCCTCTCGTGCATTTTCAGGTGTGCTGATCGACTGAATATCTTGTCACAGTGTGAACACTTGTATAGATTTTCTCCAGTGTGGATTTTCATGTGATCCTTAAGGCTTGATGATTGAATGAAGCTCTTTCCGCACTGATCACATGTGTATGGTTTCTCTCCAGTATGAACTCTCATGTGAACATCAAGATGATATTTGCTTGACAAACTCTTTCCACACTGAGTGCAGGTGAAACATTTCTTGGCTCTTCTTTTCTTTAAATCCTTCTGTTTGGTTTGAGAGCAACTCAAAGGTTTTTCTCCAGGTTTCTCCTCAACTTCACTCAGTTCTTCATTCTCCTTGGTTTCTTTAATCAACTCTAAATTAAAAGTAAAAGTAAAGTTTCAGTAACTCTCAGTAACCCTGGTGAACCCAGATGTAACAGTGTAAAAGTAGACAATTGCTATACCACATTTTGGTCATTTTGATGCATTTTTGTAAATTATACGTCACTGAAACTCGCCATGAATAAGATACATTGATATTCCAATTATTATTATTTTTAAGACATTATAGGCACAAATCCAATGTTTCTATAGGGATAACTATTAAATATGTTTGATCAACTACACAATTATCTAACAATTTTATTTAAAAAGGTACCCTATTACAACAAATCTAAATCTGCTTGAAGCTTTATAACCATCAGCCTCATTAATGTAGAATAAACACCAACCTGTTTGCTCTTCAGAATCTTCGGTGTGTTTCATTCTGCAGGGTTTGTGGCAGGAGCTTCACCGAATATGAATTTCTGTGTGGAAGAAGCAGATTTGCCAAAAATCAACAATACAATATAGCTGCAAGCAGCAATTACACGGCCAAGCACTACAGAAACAAGCATCAGACCAACTGCAGCAATGAGTAATTATAACCATTTTAAGATGATTTTAGTCAAAATGGCAGAAAAATCATAAATATGACAGTAGTAATACTGGCTTATCGCTTTTGACCAATAGGTGGCGCTGTTATCAAATATATGTGGTGTGTTCTGTGTGAGGTGACAATGGCACACATAAAGTTTGGTGTCAACATATCAAAGCTTTGCAGAGATACAGCCTCAAAGTCATTTTGGCATCATGCCTCAACTTTGTAGCGGCGCCATATCCAAAAACATTTTTGTCTATCAACACGAAATACATAACTTTTTGCCAGCACGGTCTGCAGATGATCGGATTTGATTTTTGTGAAAATCGTTCCAACAGTTCAGGAGGAGTTCGAAAAAAAAGGTTTTACATAAATCAAAATGGCGGACAGGAAAAAGCTTACTATGGCATAATTGGTATGTCTGTTGTCGGAATGAGCCAATTAACATTTTGAGACCAGTTTCATTACAATAGGCTAATGCAATCAAAAGTTATAAGCATTTTTGGAAATTTCATAATGGTTAATGAATGGTTTATTACTTTTGACCAATAGGTGGCGCTGTTACCAAATTGATGTGGCCGGGTCAGTGTGAGGTGACAATGGCACATACAAAGTTTGGTGTAAAAATGTCAAAGCTTTGCAGAGATACAGCCTCAGATGCAGTTTGGCATCTTTCCAGCAAATTCGTTGACGCGTTAAACGAAAACTGTTTCGTATATCGACATGAAATCCATAACTTTTTGCCAACTTATTCTGAAGATGATCCGAGTCAAATTTGGTGAAAAGTGGACCAACGGTCTAAGAGTTCGAAAAAGTAGGTTTTCAACATAAATCTAAATGGCGGACAGGAAATTCAGCCAATTATGGCATAATTGGTATTGATGTCATCTCGACATGATCCAAGGAATCTATCAACATCAGTCTCATTACAATAGGCTATTGTAAACAAAAGTTATTAGCATTTTTAGAAATGTCATTATAACTTTTGACCACAAGGTGCCGCTGCCCCCAGACTTTTTGTGTACCATCAGGGCATGGTGACGAAGATGCATACCGTGTTTCTTAACGATATGTCAGTGCGTTTGGCCGATGCCCAAAATGGCTGACATGGGAAAATTGTGTATGGTTCGACTCAGCATGCTCCATCGAATCTAAAGAGACCAGTTTTGTGATTTTTGGTCAAACCATTCAGAAGTTATAAGCAAAAATAGCCATTTTTCATATCTCCTGACCACTAGGTGGCAATTAGCCAAAGCACTATCAGGTAGCCTCAGGTCATGCTTGTTATAACACACACCCAAGTTTGGTCTCAATACGCCAAACCGTTGCGAAGATATAGCCTCACATCCATTTTTGTGTGTTTTTTGTTGAGTTCGTTCGCGTGTTATTCAAAAATGGTTGGACGAATCAACTTGAATTCCATAAGTTTTTGCCAGCATGGTTTGAAGATGATCTGAGCCAATTTTGCTGACAATCAGACAAACAGTCTAGGATGAGCTCTAAAAAGTAGGTAATTTTCCTTCTGTGCCTTACGGTTCAAAAGTTATTAGCATAAACATGAGTGAAACTTTGGACAAGCGGTGGCGCTAGAGAGTTTGAGTTAGAGACTCCAAACTTGCTATGGTTAATGTTGAGACTGTCTTATCAGTGTGCCAAATTTCACAATGGTTCTATGGGCTGCCATAGACTCAAGAGCAGAAGAAGAAACGGAAGAAGAAGAAGAACGCCAGCAGATACAATAGGTGCCTACGCACCTTCGGTGCTTGGCCCCTAATTATGTTATTTTTGTTTTCTTTGCGCACAAACAGTATTCTCTTAGCTTCGCAAAATTGAAGTTGAACCACTGATGTCACATGGATTATTTTATCAATGTCCTTACTACGTTTCTGGACCTGGGAACATTACAGTTGTGTTGCTGTCTATGCAGGGTCAGAGATAGGCTTGCCGCGATAGACGGTGCTGACGGTGATACCGTTGTTAAGCCGCAACACCGGTTACGTCACTTGCCCACAACTCTTTCCACACAAAGAACATGAATGTGGCTTCTCCTTTGTATGAACTCTCAGGTGTTTATTCAGGACTGAAGCTCTCAAAAATGTTTTGTTGCATTGATCACATGCGTACAGCTTCTCTATAATGTGGATGTTCATGTGATCCTTAAGGGTTGATGATTGTGTGAAACTCTTCCCACACTGATCACAAGAGAACGGCTTCTCTCCAGTATGCACTCTCATATGCTCTGTAAGGTTTCCTTTTATTGTGAAGCTCTTCCCGCACTGATCACATGTGTACGGTTTCTCTCCAGTGTGGATCCTCTCGTGTGTTTTCAGGAATCCTGACTGAGTAAATCTCTTGTCACAGTGTGAACATTTGTACCGTTTCTCTCCAGTGTGGATGTTGATGTGTTTCTTAAGGCTTGATGATTGTCTGAAACTCTTCCCGCACTGATCACAAGTGAACGGTTTCTCTCTGCTGTGGATCCTTTCATGTGTTTTCAGGATTCCTGACTGAGTGAATCTCTTGTCACAACGTGAACACTTGTACGGTTTCTCTCCAGTGTGGATATTGATGTGTTTCTTAAGGCTTGATAATTGTGTGAAACTCTTCCCGCACTGATCACATGTGAACGGTTTCTCTCCAGTGTGGATCCTCTCGTGCATTTTCAGGTGTGCTGATCGACTGAATATCTTGTCACAGTGTGAACACTTGTATAGATTTTCTCCAGTGTGGATTTTCATGTGATCCTTAAGGCTTGATGATTGAATGAAGCTCTTTCCGCACTGATCACATGTGTATGGTTTCTCTCCAGTATGAACTCTCATGTGAACATCAAGATGATATTTGCTTGACAAACTCTTTCCACACTGAGTGCAGGTGAAACATTTCTTGGCTCTTCTTTTCTTTAAATCCTTCTGTTTGGTTTGAGAGCAACTCAAAGGTTTTTCTCCAGGTTTCTCCTCAACTTCACTCAGTTCTTCATTCTCCTTGGTTTCTTTAATCAACTCTAAATTAAAAGTAAAAGTAAAGTTTCAGTAACTCTCAGTAACCCTGGTGAACCCAGATGTAACAGTGTAAAAGTAGACAATTGCTATACCACATTTTGGTCATTTTGATGCATTTTTGTAAATTATACGTCACTGAAACTCGCCATGAATAAGATAAAAATAATAATAATTGGAATATCAATGTAAGACATTATAGGCACAGAGAATAAACTTTGTTTATTAAAGACCTGTTTGCTCTTCAGAATCTTCGGTGTGTTTCATTCTGCAGGGTTTGTGGCAGGAGCTTCACCGAATATGAATTTCTGTGTGGAAGAAGCAGATTTGCCAAAAATCAACAATACAATATAGCTGCAAGCAGCAATTACACGGCCAAGCACTACAGAAACAAGCATCAGACCAACTGCAGCAATGAGTAATTATAACCATTTTAAGATGATTTTAGTCAAAATGGCAGAAAAATCATAAATATGACAGTAGTAATACTGGCTTATCGCTTTTGACCAATAGGTGGCGCTGTTATCAAATATATGTGGTGTGTTCTGTGTGAGGTGACAATGGCACACATAAAGTTTGGTGTCAACATATCAAAGCTTTGCAGAGATACAGCCTCAAAGTCATTTTGGCATCATGCCTCAACTTTGTAGCGGCGCCATATCCAAAAACATTTTTGTCTATCGACACGAAATACATAACTTTTTGCCAGCACGGTCTGCAGATGATCTGATTTGATTTTTGTGAAAATCGTTCCAACAGTTCAGGAGGAGTTCGAAAAAAAGGGTTTAACATAAATCAAAATGGCGGACAGGAAAAAGCTTACCATGGCATAATTGGTATGTCTGTTGTCGGAATGAGCCAATTAACATTTTGAGACCAGTTTCATTACAATAGGCGAATGCAATCAAAAGTTATAAGTATTTTTGGAAATTTCATAATGGTTAATGAATGGTTTATTACTTTTGACCAATAGGTGGCGCTGTTACCAAATTGATGTGGCCGGGTCAGTGTGAGGTGACAATGGCACATACAAAGTTTGGTGTAAAAATGTCAAAGCTTTGCAGAGATACAGCCTCAGATGCAGTTTGGCATCTTTCCAGCAAATTCGTTGACGCGTTAAACGAAAACTGTTTCGTATATCGACATGAAATCCATAACTTTTTGCCAACTTATTCTGAAGATGATCCGAGTCAAATTTGGTGAAAAGTGGACCAACGGTCTAAGAGTTCGAAAAAGTAGGTTTTCAACATAAATCTAAATGGCGGACAGGAAATTCAGCCAATTATGGCATAATTGGTATTGATGTCATCTCGACATGATCCAAGAAATCTATCAACATCAGTCTCATTACAATAGGCTATTGTAAACAAAAGTTATTAGCATTTTTATAAATTTCATTATAACTTTTGACCACAAGGTGCCGCTGCCCCCAAACTTTTTTTGTACCATCAGGGCATGGTGATGAAGATGCATACCGTGTTTCTTAACGATATGTCAGTGCGTTTGGCCGATGCCCAAAATGGCTGACATGGGAAAATTGTGTATAATTCGACTCAGCATGCTCCATCGAATCTAAAGAGACCAGTTTTGTGATTTTTGGTCAAACCATTCAGAAGTTATAAGCAAAAATAGCCATTTTTCATATCTCCTGACCACTAGGTGGCAATTAGCCAAAGCAAAGCAAGTGGGAAAACAAACTACACCTTACGTGTTTAATTCAGTTGCATTTTGGAGTTCATTTGACTTGGCATGAGCAAAAGATTCAGAGGAAAAAAATATCCTTCTGTGTCTTACGGTTCAAAAGTTATTAGCATAAACATGAGTGAACATTTGGACAAGTGGTGGCGCTAGAGAGTTTGAATCAGAGACTACAAATTTGCTGTGGATAATGTTGAGACTGTGCTCTATCTGTGTGCCAAATTCCATAACTTTCCCACAAGCGGTTCTATGGCCTGCCATAGACTTCCAGAGCGGCCATCGCACCATCTGTGCTTGGCCCCTAATCAGTTACCATGTTTTTAACTAATTTTCACATTTAAGCATTTATGTATTAGAAGCAGAAGAGACCAGAGCCTTACAAATACCAAGTGTTGTCTCTTTATAAATCATTACATTACTAAATGAAAAGTATAAAAGTAAGTGTAGACACATTATTCCTCTCTCCAACATCTCCACTTCTAAGCTTCTCACAGAAAATGGAGGAACTGGTTTATGCTGGGACCAGACTCTCCCACTC